CTACCAAAATTAAATAGATGAACATTTTCAGGTACGCAGAAAATGATCTTCAAGGTTTTCAGAATAAATATTTGATCTGAAATATAATTTCATTCAACTGTTGCAAAAATTCAGAAAAGCTTTATAGTAATCTTGTAACAATTATTTCTGAAATGATATGTTTCAAAATTATAGAAGCTGTTTAGTGGTTTAAACATAAAAATAGAAAATTAGACCTAGTGCTGTTCAATATAGTTAAACATATCATATCTATTATGCTGATAATTAACTACTTTTTAAAGCTTATATTACAAATACATTTTATCATATTATATTCAATTATAAGATCAGTGTTAACATTTAAAATGATAAACTGAAACATTAGATAAATTTGTAATCCCAGTTGACAACTCCACATATATACCCTATCTACCAATGCTAAACATCGAAAAGCCATTCAAACAATAAATTCTCTCTAATGTTATTGTTTTATATGAGCTTCAGTGTGTCAACTGCAGGTTCTGTTTATATAAGCTCAAAAGCAAGCTTCCTAAATCTTTGAGTCAAAAGAAATGTCAAAATATTGGGGCAAATAAAGAAGCAGAGATTGTGAGTGACTGTGCCAAAGGAGAGTGGGTATACATATTACAAACAATTATCATAAAAATATTCACAAAATAAAGGACTGATTATTTCTGCAATTATGATTGGATAAATTATCCAGTCAACAACCACCTGGCTCTATATCATTAATAAAAATGAAACATAAATAAACAGAAAACTTATCTAAAGTGGCTTACCAAAACCAACTACTTACACATAAAACAAGCTTTCAGTACAAATCACTACTTTGTTCTGAAACACTTCTTAGTATAGAATTACTACCTGATAATAAACAGTACTCATCTCAATAGAAATAAGAATGTTTTTCCTGAGAGAACTGATTTTTACATATAGAGTTCAGTAAACTACTACATATGCATTATCAGCATTCTAGAAATAAAATAAACAATATTTGGAATTGATTAAATATTGGAAAACAGTACATTACCTTGAAAGAAAAGTTAATTGCTTACTAAGAATTCAGCATAATACAAATTTGTAATAGACATAATAAAAATAATGCTCTGCAAGGAAATTACAAATTTGTATTATAATTATTAGAATGTTATCATTTTAAGAGTTGGAAAGCTTAAACATGTTAATCACTTTCCTATTTATATGAAAAGACTACAAAAAGCATATGCCACTGCCTAATGTATTACATTTCATTAGAAAAAGAATAACTAACCCACCTCACAAGTACAATTATCTGTTTTCACATACCTTCCCCAAGAGTTTGCCTCTTCAGAATAAGAAACAAGGAATCAAATCAGATAATTTCAATAAGTATGGATGAACTAATTTTAGTGGCCCAAGTACAGTACAGATTGACTTTAAAAGTTAGTGTCTGACTATTTTGTCAGGTTGGGCTGTTAAGTCATGCCTTGATTTTAGATCTGCCAACACATGGATTCTTCTACTTCAGTTCAGCCTCCCCCACTTATCATCAAGAGTGATATACTTCTTGTTCTATTTCCCCCACCAACTCCCCCTGCTCCCTTACAAAAAAAAAAAGGCACTGCAGGGCAGAAATTCTTCAGGTGCTTGCTAATGGAATTCCCAGGGTCTATGAGCCGCTTCGGGGATCAAGAGATCTCATAGCTCCCGCTGGGGTAAGAAGCAGTGAGTCTGTTCCATTTAATCAAATACAGAATGAATTTTCAACCCTATTCACTAGGTTGTCTCCAGGGCTCCAAAAAAACACCAGGGAGCTAGAATCACACTAATGTGGCTCTTTCAGGCAAATATAATTAGTTTGATTTTAAAAGAGCCACATTAATATCACCTCGGTCCTATTATCAGATTGTGAATTATAGTGATACTGTATGCTTTAAGCTTGAAAAACTGAAGGATAACTGAACATGAATCATGCAAAATGCTATACATTCTGCATTGAATGTTTCCTATTATACCATACTGCCTGGTTTCATTTTAACAGCAAGGTAGTTAGTCATGGTTAGCTCTTTGTGTGTTAACAGAAACCAGCAGTGATCCCTTTTCCCCCTTACAGTTTCTCTTTTAAAATAAAATCCCCTAATAATAGGGCTCATATGAAATACTGCATATTTATACCTTGAACTTCTGAATTCCTAAGCTACAATTAAATGGACTATTTCCCAATCAGGCATATTTTGATATTTTAAAAAACTGGCTTAAAATGCAGAGAATTAGTCCTAAACTATTTTCAGTTATCAAAATACAGTTGTCATTTATACACAATAAAATAAAGTATAGCAACTAGCATATGCACAATAAAATTAACAAATAAGTTCATGCTTTATACTAGATGCAAAAATTAGTTCTGTATAAATTTTATATCCCACGGAAGAAATGTAGAATTATAAGCCTCCCACTAGGAATTCAATATTGAGTTACCCTTGACTTTTACAACAGTAGCACAGCTGTTTTATTCCACTGTATACAAGACTCAGTCACTACTGTATTATTAAACTTGTCAAACATGCTGTCTAAACAAAATCAATTTCATTATTTCAAAGTCAAATCACCTGCAGCCATGGCCAGCGTGATGAAAAAAATACAAACTAGAACAAGATCCAATTCTTCACTATTCTGGAGAAGAGGATTTTTTTTACTTTATGCATTTGAATTATATTAACTATCAGCCAAAAATAAAATTAAACTCATAGCTAATATACTTGTTGCAAGTAATACAAGTGTCAAGACAGAGAAAGGATGTAACCAGAGATTTCAATTCTATTTATGAGAACTGACCCTCCCCCCATCATTCTCTCAATCTTCTGTATTTTTTGATTCATTAATATGCTGAAAGCACTTAACCGAAGGAATGTGCTTATGTAAACCCACAAATCAAAATGAATTATATTGATGATTTATTGGATACAAAGAAACAAAATTTCCTTTTTAGATTTGTTTTTCTTTGCACACAACTTTTTGGACACTATGCAATTTTGACATGTGTATAACAGATAGCAGTAATGCAATCTGCTCCTACTAGGAATGTTCTCTAGTTGAGCAGCACATAAAAATGGTTAGTTTCCAGACAAAATGTGGTGTTTCATCTTCGCCCAAATAAAAACCTCCCAACATATTGCTGCTATAAATACTCTTTTAAGAAAAACAAGATGCAGTTTACGGTTTCACATTCAAAAAAGAACTTTGCCAAAAGTTAAAGAGTTTGAAGTTGACAACTGAGCCTCTCAATCATGTTTCTCATTGAAGTGCCAGGCACTGCCTTTGGTTTTATCAAAAGCAACTTTCTGATCAAGTCAATATCAAAACGACTACACAGGATCCAATTATCTGCTTCTTCTTAAGATTTTGTTATGGAAATGAAGTATCATCCTCCATAGTAAACAGAAACAAATTCCAGCGAACACAAGGTTATTCTATTTCTCACATGCCTCTGGAGTAACCTTAATGCTAAAGTAATCTCTAGATATAAGAAATAACTTTTCCATATGATGTATGAAGAATTAAAAATGATAATAAACTAAAGAAGGGGGAAAAAAAACCATTTTGACATCAAAAGTACCTAACAGACTATTCACAAGGACACAGAACATAAAAAGCAATGGCTTGCACAAGTCAACTTATGCTGGGAAATAAATACAAGGGGATATATATAGAGAGTAATTAACTTATCTCTGATTCTGTCAAGGAAACAAAAGCTACACATGGGTTAAGAAACAGTAAAGCAGGGTCAACTCCCTTCCATACATACTGCCTGATTATGTATAGGAAGGAGGAAGTAACAGCAACTCCTGACAAACTCCGGTGTTATTTTGCATATGCACTTTGCACTGCAGGAGAACAGAGTGTGTGCTCAAAAACATTATTTTTGCTCTCCCTCCCCCCCCTTTAAACTTTAGGGGAGCAGATGTTTTGGCATCAGGAAAAACACCATTTTTAACTCCTTCCTTTCAATGTCCTAGGATTTATAGAAAGAAAGAAAAAGACACTTCCCATTTAGTCCTTCATGGGTACATATGTGCACATCTGAATGGCCCTATGAAGAATAATAACCGCTCCTTGCATTTCCTTTCCTTTTGACCTTGCCTGTGATTAGGACCCAATCGTGGGTGCAAACCGACAAAGCCATAAATGACGGTCATTATAACCCAGAAAAACTACAATATACCTGCTGGTCTTTTAAGATGTCAGAAGAATTTTAGGTTTGATTTTGTTGCAGCAGTTTCAAACCCAGCTCCCTCTCTGCAAGCCGCAATGCTCAAAGAACGTCTGTGGGGCTTTACAACACTCCCCCCCAACCCCGCTTCCCTTCATGCTCCACAATCGCGATCCAAAAGAGAGAGAGATGCGCCTTTGCCTCTTGCCAACCATTTCTCAAAAGGCCAAGAGAAGGTTTCGGATACCCCAAAAGTTGGGGGATTCAACGCTGGGTGGGTGGGGAGAAAAGCGACCATAAATCTATCTCCAAGGTGCTCCAGGCGCTCTTTCATCTTCCCTGTTGCCGCCCCCCCAACCACCCCCTCCCCAAATTTATGTCACCAGCCTTGCTGCAAACGGCGATGGAAGCGGACCAGCCTCAGCCAGCCTGCGAGCCCCTGGGAGGATTTCATCGCCCGCCCGCCTCCCGATCTTATAAGTCCTTTAAGGTCGGAGTTTGCACGAGCGCGCACCCTCCTCACACACACGCGCGCACACGCACACCCGGGAATGGCAGGTAACTTCTCTCCTCCTCCTCCTCCTCCTCCCCCGCACCCAATTGCAAGATCCGAGGGACGAAAACAAGGTCGGGCAACCCACCAGAGCATCCCTTCGCCCTGCTTTGCCATCCCGACACGCGGGTTCCAAGAATTCCCGTGCGCGCGTTCACACGACCTTGGCGCGCTCCCCGCGTCCCCTGCTTTCCACGGTGCCCCCCCCTCCGCCGCCGCCGCCGCCGCCTGCCAACCCAGCAGGGTCCCCCCTCACACCTCTCAGCCGCCGCGGCGCTGGCTGCGCCCAGAGAGGCTCCGCTCCCGCTCGACAGACGCTCCCCAGGACATTCCAGTGAGAACCGGCGAGGCGGACGGGAGCCTCCATCCAACACCGACCGGCCGACCCAGCAGCCCGGTCCCGCTCCCCGTCCTGCCGCCACCGCCGCCGCTCAGGGCGAAGCTCCCTCACGAGCTGACGGAACGACGGGCTGAGGCAACGCGCGAGCCAACGAGCCTGCGCGCCCGGCTCGGCTAGAGTCGCCCGCAGCGGAGGAAGCCCCGCCCATTGCTCGCGTGCACGGCCGCGCTCACGTGCCCGCCCCAGCCGCCGCCTCCTCCTCCCCTTTCTCCTCCCTCTTGGCCTCCTTCAAGCCGGACTCACGCCCGGGCCCCGCCCTCGGCTCCCGCTCAGCCAACCGGCGCTGCCCTTCCCGGTCTCTCGCTCCTCCCCCTTCTTCCACCTCCCCCCCCCCAGCTTCTCTATTTTGGTTTGGGTGGGAATATACCAACGGGGCTGAAAGCGGGAAGGGGAAAAGGGCGCGAGGGTCGGGCAAAGCGGAGTAGGTGTTCGGTCTCCGACCGGGCTGGTTTCGCCCCGCGAGTACCACACAAGTACCGTTGAGATGAAATGCCCGTTTTTCTAAGGAGCAGAGGTCCCCAGCTTGGCAACTTTTAAGATTTGTAGACTTCAACTCCCAGAATTCCCCAGTTAGCATGGCTGGCTGGGGAATTGTGGGAGATGAAGTCCACAAGTCTCAAAACTGAACATCCCTAGGATTAGTGTAAGGAAAACCCTGAGGAAGAAGCCCTCCACCTGGTTTGAAGGTAGACTTTGCCTTCAAGAAAAGGAGGAGGGTGGGATTGTTTTGGCTCCAGAAGGTCTAGTAATTTGATCAATGTAATATTACTTTTATTTGTTTAATTAAATTTATATAGCCATCCCTTTTAGGACTATCTTTTTTGGGGGGAATTTAGGAAAAGTCTGTGGGTTGGTTGATCATGCTTCTTTACAATGACTATGATTCCTGGTTTTTCAGGTTTGAAATATCCGAAATGTAGAAGACTGGTCTTAAGGACTTAGCTTTAAATACCTCCCCAGACAGGTCATAATATTTCTAATATTATTGGGTTTTTCTAATAATGTTTCTAACCGCAGTTATTTCTAATGTTGTTTAAGGAGGTTTCTTAACAATAGGAAAGAGCTGACACATAAGCAACATAGAAGCTGTGTTGGTGAAACACATTTAACACCACCACTTAAAAGACTGGACTAAATACCACTAAATAATACACCACTAAATACACCACTAAATAATAATAGAATATACCAGTACATGTAATTGTCTTACAGCCACAATTGGGACTAGAATTGCTGTTGCTAAATAATGCAGTCATTATGACTGCCTGATTTCACCACTATTTTTGCCACAGTTGTTAAACAAGTAACAATGTCATTAAGCAAATCTGGTCATAAGGCAAGCACTATCTGCCAGTCAATCCTGGAATATTGACCTGCTAAAATGTATGACATTTATAAAACTGAGTTAAAATATATTTTCCCTCAGCAGTATGCAATGCCGTGTCAAAGATTCCGTTTTACTTCTGATGCCTCTAGAAACCACAGTGGTGAAAGGTATAACAAATGCTAAAATTAAAATAGCCCAAGGTGATAAATTAATAAAACCACACATTTAATAGTTAGGAATCTGCCCTCAGGAGAGGAATTTTTTTAAAAATGCATTTTACATAACTGGTTCTCTTTTTTGCACCTGTATGGTATTCATCATATTCATAAGAAATACTTTTTAAAAATCCTACTTTTCATAAATTGCAATTTGCGCTATTCTTTGGGCATGTTTTTCGTATCCATATATTGCAAAACACTTTTTTTATTCCAGAGAAATACTTGTATTTTTCTCCCCTATGGAGATGGAAATGTTCTCAGTGTGGCCAGATAGTAGACAAGAATGCTTTCATTTTAATCCTGCACAAGCTCCATCGCCTTTTTTAAAAAGTCAACTTTTCTTAACTCAAGGCAATGAACATAGCTGATACACCTATTTTTCCCACAACAGCAGCCCTGCAGGGTGGGCGAGCCCAAATGGCCTTTACATTTTGTGCAGTGTTATGCAGAACCACAGAGATGGCTTTGGAGAAACTATGCAGAGACAGAAACACATATTTTCAATCCCGCGGAACAAAGGAAAAAAAATAGAAATTCAGACTGGCTTTGTTTTCCTGAGTTGGCCTACCCCGAAGGGCTAAGGCAGTGTTTTTCAGCCTCAGTAACTGTAGATATATAGACTTCAGGTCCCAGTATTCCCCAGCCCACCATGGCTGGCACAGGAATTCTAGGAGTTGAAGTCCACTCATCCTAAAGTTGCCAAGTTCGAGAACATTCGATTCAGTGTCCCAAGTAAACCAGATCACTATAGTTTGCATTCCATATCAGAGGTGGTATTCAGCAGGTTCTGACCAGTTCTGGAGAACCAGTAGTGGAAATTTTGAGTAGTTTGGAGAACCGGCAAATACCACCTCTTGACTGGCCCCGCCCCCATCTATTCTCTGCCTCCCAAGTCCCAGCTGGGTCTTCTTTTGTTGCCCTGCACAGGAGAACAGAGCTGGAAAGCAGGTTAGTGGGGTGGGTAGAGAATGGGATTTTGCAGTAACCTTCCCCTGTCACACCCACCAAGCCACTCCACGCCTACCAAGCCACGCCCCACCGAACCGGTAGTAAAATTTTTTGAATCCCACCACTGTTCCATATATTAATGTTGAGTGGTGCAGGGTAACTATCTTCATTCTCCCTGTCTTTATTTTCCCTTCCCCTTCCTGTGGTTCAGGCTGTTTCGCAAGAGATGGTTCTCTCTCGCTAGACCTCTGAACAGATGCTTAGCAGAATATTTTGAAAACAGTGATCAGCAAAGCTCCCTACCTCTGCTTTTGCTTAGCGGTGCAGATGGAGAAGGGTAGTGTCCTTCCGAAAAATCAAATGTGATTAGATTAACTACGATTCAGCGATCAAACCAAGTTCACCTTCTTTCTGCAATCCCTCTAGTGCTCAGTATCTTACATTTCCAAATTAGGTATATCATCTAATTAATCTCTCATTAATTCTATTGCATTGTATTGCATATACTCCTGAATAAGTTTATTGGGAATTCCATTCTTACATTTTCCTCATTATATTGAACCATAAAATCTTATCCTAGAATCACCACGTAGCATGAAGAGTTCAGATTTTAAATAATTTAGCCTGTGTGGGTATGATTCATATGGCTGTGTTTAGAATGCACTTGACTGCTAAGGGTTTTTAAAGATTTAACAATAAACATGAAATAATGGACGTTCGCATTTTACCCATTCAAAAGGAAGACAGATTGTAGGTTGTAGCATGTTTGGCTGACTTTCCAGCCTTCTAAAAATAAGCATTTTGCAAGGATTAACGTCACCAGACAAAACAAAAAGTCTTCACTCTGGACTTTTTATATTGACATTAGCAGGGAATTGAAAACAAAAGGTTCAAGTTAAGTAAAACATTAAATGTAATGAAACCATTTCAGTGCCTCACTTTCACCTCTTCTAGATTTTGAAATATAACATGGAAGATTAGAGAAGAGAGAGTTTTAATATAGTATTTAAATTCCATTCAGATAATTTTCTTATTACAATAGCCTTACTTGTAAAAGTCATTTATTTAAAGTATTCAAAGGTAAGGTCACCTCACCTCCCTAACAATTAGTGAATTATTTAAGCATTTCTCACAGACTGGTAGACAAAGAAAATTCTTGAATTCAAAAGTATTACTTCTTGCAATGTTATCCAACCAGTTAGCAGATAATAGAGTTCCTTCTGTCCCTAATCAATTCTCCCAAAGGGAAAGCAATGTGGCTCTGTTCTTTTTTCTACATCAATTCTGACAGTCAGCTGTTTCCAAACTTGGTAACTAAGTGGTGGGACTCATCTCCGCGGGGGGATGAGTCTGCCTACCGAGATGAGGTGGATCAGTTGCTTTCGTGGTGTGGAGACAATAACTTGATCCTCAACACCAATAAGACCAAGGATCTTATAGTGCAGTGGTCGTCAACTAGTGGGCCAGGGACCACTGGTGGTCTGCGAGACAATTTTGATGGTCCGCAGAGAAATGTCACCTCCAAAGCACCCCCCAAGCAATTAATATGGAGTGTGAAGGATGTGTGTTTGTGTTTATTTTCATGGTCATGATGTGTACTGAAAATGGTGTTCGATTTCATTGTACGAGGTGCAATGACAATAAAGTAAACTAACTAACTAATCCAGGCTGTGCGGGAACACAAGGCTTGTGTCGCTTGCATTGTGAACAACACAAGTGAGGGGAGGGGGGAAAGGGCAGAGGGGGGAACTTGCCCATGTACCTTGTCTGGCCACTGGGCTGCTTCTTTCTGCTTCTTTCCTCTGCTGCTTTTGGCTGCGCGCAAGGAAAGCAGCAAAAGTCTTTCTTTCTCTCTCCCAAATTCCACCAGAAATGAGTGTTTGGGACCCTGCAAGGCATGCAGCTCCAAGAGGCTACGCTGGCACGACAAGTCTCATACAAACTCATTTTTGGTGGAGTTTGGGAGAGAGACAGAACGACTTCTGCTGATTCTGCTGCTTTCCTTGCATGAAGCCAAAAGTCAGTCAGTCAGTCAGTCTGTCTGTCTGTCTGTCTCTCTCCCCCCCCCTCCCCCCCCCCCCCCCCCCCCCCCCCCCCCCCCCCGAGAACGGACCTGGAGATAGTATCATGCAATCCCAAATAAAAAATGATTGATTGGTAGGAAAACAGGGTGGGGAATTTTCCTGCAGACTGTTTGGGAGATTTTCCCAGTGTCTCTGGTCCTCAGGATTTAAAATTATGAGTTTGGTGGTCCCTGAGGTCCAAAAGGTTGGTGACCCCTGTTATAATGGACTAAAGAAGGAACAGATCAGGCCTCCAGCCCTTGCTTATCAATGGAGACTGAGTGGAGCAAGTGGCCAGTTTTAAGTTTCCACAAAAGAGGATCTGACCTGGGGTGCTAACATTGTAGCACTGGTCAAAAGGGTCCAGCAGAGATTATGCTACCTGAGACTTCTCAGAAAACAACAACTGAATGAAAAACTGCTGGTGACCACTGCATCATAGAGAGTATCTTAACTTACTGCACCTCTGTATGGTTTGCCAATTGCACAGGGGCAGATAGGACAGCACTCCAGAGGGTTAATGTCATTGCCCAGAAGATCATGGGT